ACTCCACTGTCCTCCCCTGATGCTTTAGCCCAAGCAGCACCTTTGGAGCCAGGGATCTGAAGGTACACTTCCCCCAGGAACATACCCAGGACATATTTACAGTGCAAGAACTGGTTTGCCTCAATATTAATCTGGAAAAAAACACCTGCAAGCACCCTCCTCTGGAGCCAAACATCTCAGTCTTCAAATGACCAAATTAGCAGACTGGCTTAGTAACCCCTCAGTTCATTCAGATACCACAAACTGGCTTATTTCCCTGACAATCCATTTGCTAAATCCTTGTTAAAATGATAATTCAACAAAAAATAAACTACCACACTGCTAGGCTTGATCCAGGGTTTAGGAAAGACCATCCAAGCCATCCTGGAATATATCAACAGCACTGCACAATATGAGGTTATAACAGGAGTAGCACTCCCTAACCCCAAAGAGAACAGAAACACAGCTCAACTGTTTTGGAAGCTCAACACTCCCAAGTCTTGGACACCTAAGAACTTCAAACTGTCATCTACTTTCAGATAAATCATAAAACACTTGGAAAATACAAATTACTTACCAGTAACTGATAGCAGAAACTGGCCTGGGATGCTTTTTCCACCCCCAACCTGCAACTTAGAAGCTCCAGTGTGTATTCAACACCAGTCTTCACCCCTTAGGCCAAAAGAAAACCTCAGCACACAAGGGCTTAGCATCAAGCAAATGCTCCCAAGTGCTGTATGGTTTGTATCTCCTAGTAATTCATTGTAATCACCTTCTGATGAACAAAGCAACATTGCCTCTGGCACAAACTGCAAACTGCATTTAAGCAGGGATTTACTAATGGGAAAGAATTTCAAAGCCATTCCAGGAAGGTGCTTTTTTGAATCTATTTGAAGTTCTTAAAATTATAAAAGCAGGGGGAAGGTGTCAATTTTCAATTCCTTCACCATAATGCACACCAGAATTTGTACTCACAAAAGTAGGATAAGCATCCACAGCAGGGAGGGCTTTAAGAGAGCACATTCTTCTGGAGCATGAAGAGATCACCTTCAAACTCTTCAACAGATTCAAGAGCACAACATGGTATAGGAGAAACCTAAAGTCAGGATCAGCCGAAAGCAGTTTTGGTGGCCAGTCAGTACCCCTGGATTTGCTGTTCTCTTGGCCTTACCTCTAGAGATCATGGTGGCAATGCAGGTTTCTCTGCTGCTAGCCAGCAGAGCACCAGCAACAGTCAGATGTGGGAAAGAAAACTATTCCTTCTTCATCCCATGCCATGTCCCACAGCCATCTCTAAGTGCAGATGCTCAAACACCATTTTTCTGATCAACAACATCAGTAAGATTGAATCATTGAAGTCCATGAGACATTCTAAAGGGATAAAACATTTTTCCTCCATTTCTCTGCAGACTCTGGAAGTACCAATACTGTCATTACTTTGAAGTTCAGTTTGGCCTAACTTTTAAAGGGTCTGATACAGACCATTTTCCTCTTAATCCTTCAGTTATTTTTTCATGTAAAGACTTAACACAGAAAGCAAACAACTGTCCGTACTGCACGGATCACAGGATGTCAGTAACACTCCCAAGGGATTAATTCCTGACCATAAAATGAGCTGTCCATCAACCAGGACACAAGACTTATCCCTCCGTAACTCTCAAACATTTCTTCATGAAAGCATTTACATCTTCTAAGTCTCTAAGCACAGAAGAAGAGGCCATAGCACCAAGAAATAAGCAACAGCTTAAAATAAAACTACCCCTGGCTGACTGTGGAAAGCAGGCTTTGAGGGAGCACAACTTCATTGATATACTCTGCTTTCTGCCAGGTGAGGTTTCCAATCGCTGACCAGTGCGGAGGTAGCAGTTACCCTTCAGGGATGGCACCAGACTGTTCATACACCTTCACACTTGCAGGCTGGCTGTGCCCTGCTGCAGGCACAAGCAGCAGCAACTGTTCTCTCAACTCTTCTGGGCACAAATTGTTGTAAACACTCCAGGAAATTTAAGAAATCTGGGGGGTTTCTTTCTGTCATTACACTAAAGTTGCAGCTGCCTCCTGAGGACAAGGCTGACATCAGGTTGTTGCTCTTACTCCTCCACATAGCTTAAGGTTTTCAATGCCTGTCATGTAACTTTAAGTCAAAATGTGTCAAATGAAGAGTTTTGGAAGCTTTCTTTCCTGAACTCATGTAATAGTTTTTTAAAACAAATTACACCACAAAATAAATATATCAACTATGCTTGAGCTTCCACTTCATCTGCAATTAAAAGCAGTTAATTTTAACAGCAATAAAATACACAGGGGACAGCTAGGGATGAGGTCTGCATAAATTAACAGACAGTATTGCACCACCAAATATATCTGGTTTTACTTATCCCTTAGTAATTTTTTTTTCCTCTGCCAGCCTAATCACTTTTCACTTGTGGCAATTACTGTGCCAAACCCCTACTAGGCTCATACATGAATTAAAAAAAATCAGCACCTTCCTCACTTTGCTTCAAATCCCTCCTGGTTCTCCAATCTCCATTGCAAAACACATCTTGAAGGGTCAGTCAAATTTATACTGAGTTTCTATTTTTTGAGAAGAAATAAGAGATGGTTATCTCCTCAGTGCTTAAAGAGGATCAAGCATCAAAACAACTGGCATCTCAGTCAAATTGGAAAGTAATCGGTTTTCAGTAAATAAGTATTTTATCAAGGCTTGGACATGATCTGTGCAAACCATGCAATGGCAAGAGATTTAAGTCTTTGTGAAAACTGAGAATTAAAACTGGTGGGACCAGATGGAGAAGCTTTTCTCCAGACTATACAGTTAAAAACCAATTTGCATTACAGCAAGTAATAAACCAAAACCAAGTAGGCATTTAGACATCAGTGGCACCAGGATAAGATTAATGCCAGCCACAGTAAGTCTTATTCTCCTGTTGAATTACTTTTAATTCCTGTCTAATCTATCTCTAATGTGTCCACATCTACAGTATCTATTACCCTGCAAGAGCAATGCTTGGCTAAAAGGGACATTCTTCCCATCTGCCATTAAAAATGATTACTTGGCCATCACACACCTATTCCAAGCAATCCTTTCACATTATGTTGAAAATACAATTCCAGTTCATATTTCCCAGAATTAAGGATAACAAAGCTTTCTACCCTAATGATTTCCATATATTGATCCATGGCACATGCTAAGAATCAAGTGGAAAGAGATGGCTAAAATATAGCAAGGCCCTACTCAGATTTGAGAGGTCTTAGCCTTTTTCTGTGTTTCTAAAGCAGATAAATTAACAGATTTGAATATAAAACAAAGGCTGCTAAGTCATACTTAGCCCAAACTTATTGCAGTATGTTTTTGCTGTCTCATTTATGCTCTAAAATAGCCCTAGCACTGTAAGTTCTGATGCTTTGTATAAGGTTTAATTCCATCAAACTAAAAAGGCTATTAAGAAAAGCCAAAAAAAGCATAAAGCCCAATCTGCTGAGGAAAAAAAGACAGTATCTAGCTAGGAACCTAACTTTGAGAAGATACAGTGCTTCAAAATTACATCTCTGGCTATCCAACTTGACATATCCTTATTCCTGTTCCTAATACATTCTCACAACAATCACTGACCGACATCAATGCTGCAGGAGCATTAGAAGAGCCATCTGTTAACAGTCTTGTACCTTCCACTTTACATTCCAGTCTTTCAGGCTGGCAATTTTTAAATTGTTTATGCTTTTTACTCCCTAGGATAAGCCTTGGAAACATGCACACCCCTCCAGCTTCACAGACCATGGGGAAGAACTGTCTAACACCATCATCTTCAATGCAATCAAGAGCAAAGGAGCAAAGACCAGCAAGTCAGTTAATTTTATAACAAGGCAGTGTCTCTCAAAGCACTATATCTATTGTACTTCAAAAGAGGGAGCACTTTTGCAGAGAAAAGCAAACCCCAGCATTCTTATCTATCAAGGAAATATTTAAGTTCTGTAAAGCTTGTTTTCCATATCAACTACACTTAAAAAAGGCACACTTGCAGGACAGCCCTTATTAGGTCCTAAATTAGATCATAAAGTCCTTTTTGCACATCAAAGCAGCAGCTAATTTCAGTTTATCCCATCGTTATCTAATCTCACTGTAAATCATTTGCAGGAACTCTGATACCACAGTGAACTCCTTTAAAGTTACATTATAAGCATACTCACTCAGGTTGCTTTGTACTTAGTGTGGAACAACCATGTTGTAGCACATACTTTTTTGCTACTGTTACATCTAAAAACCAGAACTGAACTGAGTGGTGATGAAGCTAAGAACATTGCTTAAAGTCTGAATTAGCTATATTTACCCTAGAACACCACATTCAGTGCAGTTGATCTGAAATTCAGAGCTGAACATTACTTCCTATCTACCAACCACATACGTAAGCACCTATTTCCTGCAGAAGTTGAATTTCCTTAAAGAGTCTACAATTCAGAAGGAAATGGAACACGACTTTACCCATTGAAGCACTGAAACCAGTACAACACTCAGTTCAACCAGCTCTTTATTACTATTATATACAATATTGTTCTCAGTTATTAAAAAAAGTTAAATACAGAAGCCAGCTGCATGTTACTTTTCAATACCCAGAATATCCAGTTGAAGTTCACCTTCCTAAGCAACTTTCTTCCTATTCTTTTATAATTTCAAAATCAATATAGTTTGCCTAACAGCACCCTTTTTTTTTAAGTTCCATGCCCAGAGGGAAGCACAAGTCATGAAAGATTAGGTTGCAAAAGTCTAAATATTGACTTATATTTTAACAGTCAAGTATTACAAGACAGGGGGGTTTATTTTCAAAGTGCCAGGTTTATGTACATATTATTAAAACAATAGTATAAAAAGGTAAACTTAAAAGCTGCTAAAAAAAGCAGTGAGGTCATGTAGTTGCCTCCAGAGGTTTCTACAGAGTATTCAGCCAATTTACAAATAAGATTTCTGAACTGCTCCTTTGTTTATGGGGAGAACAGCAGAAGCTAGTAATCACTGCCCATCATCTCCCATCTTGCAGATGAAGGTGCCTGTATCTTTCATAAAATTGAGTAACATATGTTGTAAGAGACATCTAAGCATTCTACAAATTAACACCATTGGCAAAGTCTAATAAGAAGGGAATTTAATGCTGGAGCTACACTAACCTCCTGAGAAGTACCAATACCACCACATTTCTCAAGAGTGGGATTTCAGTTCAGGAATCAAGTCACACTGTGACTCAATATAGTCAATGTTTCCCTGCAAACAGAGGAGCACACACATTAACTCATAGGTGTCTTAATTTAAAATTCTGCATCCAGGGTGAAAGAGTTGTCTGTGGGCTTGGACATGACTCCCATCCTCTGATATTCACCTACTCGCTTCTCAAAGAAATTGGTCTTGCCTTCCAGAGAGATGTTTTCCATGAAGTCAAAAGGATTCTCCGCTCTGTATATCTGAAATGCAAAGGCAATTCGATAGTCACCACAGGTGCTTGCATCTTGAATACTTGTGAGCATTAGACATCAGCTAGGAATCTAATGAAACCCACTGCAGGCCTACTGTGTACTGGACAAAAACCTGCCCCAAGCCTTCTCTGCTGTATTTGTTCCTGTCTTTTAGCTGCAGTCAACAGAATGACAGCAGTTCTTTTTCCATAGCATCATTTTGCTTTTCCTTCCACAGGTGTCAAAACAGAATCTAGCAGCAGGGCTGCTAAATGGTTTTATAAGTTATATCAGTGTTGTTGCAGTCACTGCAGGATTTCAGTTTCTGGAGGAAATGAAGTTTAATATTAAATCTCTACCCCACAAAAGATTCAGTGTATTAGAGCCTTACCTTGTTAAATCCCAGTTCCAACATGAGCCGGTCTGCTACAAACTCTATGTACTGTTTCATTAAAGTGCAGTTCATGCCAATCAGCTTCACAGGCAGTGCCTCCGTCAAGAATTCCTGCAAATATTGGAAGCACTTCATGCACAGCAACTGGTATTCAGTATTCAACTGTCTAGGTTAATTCTATACCAAACAGCTCCCTGGCTTTCTGCATAATTGCAATCAAGTTCCTAAACAAGGAGCAGAGAATTACCTGCTCTATGATAACAGCATTCATGATAATTTCCTTTACTCTCCCCTCTGACGGTTTGTGTATCAAGTGCTTGAACATGAGGCAGGCAAAGTCACAGTGCAAGCCCTGAAAAACAAGTTTCAGAAAATTTCAGGAACACAGTTAAAAGAGTCACTTGTATTGGTAGCACAGAATAAAGAGCCCAATATCTAGGCACCATCTTTGCCCTTGCCCATTTAATGTTCTTTACAGGCAACTTTCTGCCTAACCAGAAGGCAGCATAAGCAAGTTCAGCTAGTACCAGCCACATTTGCTACAAAAGGGCAAGATATGCTGAGTGCAAAGATTGGTGAGAACACTTAAAACTACTTCAGAAGAAGTAAAATACTAAGTCAATTTATCCACCATGACATTTACACACTTCAGTGAGTTTTAGAGACTGCCTGTTTCTAAACATACTGTTTTAAAAGATGGGTTCCAATTGAATGCCGTTACTTTGAGCTACTGTCATACAGTTCCACCTTTAACTGCTACAGTTTGATTCATACCTCATCTCTACTGATGAGTTCGTTAGAAAAAGTGAGCCCAGGCATTAATCCTCTTTTCTTCAGCCAGAAAATTGATGCAAAGGAACCAGAAAAGAAGATTCCTTCCACTGCTGCAAAAGCTACTACACGTTCTCCTGTTAAGAAAGATTGACAGTAATATCACACAGAAAACTTCACAGGATTAGTACCCAGAAGTTGTGAATAGACCAGCATCCTCCTCCAAGAAGAACTAAGAAGTTTCTGCTCATGTGTGCTATAGCCTGTCCTTAAAAAAAAGTTACAGTAAAGGCTCCTAGTTATTTTTAAACATGAGTAAGAACCAACTGGAGTAGCTACCAGCTACCTAAAGCTAAGGCTCCTTCCCCCAGGGTAACCACCAACACCATCCTTCTTTGAAGGCTGCACACAAAGACAGCAGTGATTTTAGCAGATGATTCAAGTCAGTGTCTGCTCATTTTTTATTAAGTAAGAAACTTTAGCTACAAAGAATGTTCTAATACTAGTGAAAGAATGATCTGTACCATCTCATCCCACCTTTGAATCAAGACTTAAAGAATCAGTAAGGCAGATGAGCTACAACCTCCAAACTATGTCTGCTGGAGGGAGATAGCCAGTGCAGATCTAGACAACTTAAAAGTTGATCACAGAGCCAGGCATACAAAGATTGTCACATGAGCTATCACGTGCAAAATGACAATTTCACAGAGACTCATGTCAGTAGCTCATCTCCAAGATGAATTTTTTTTTCATCATCAGAATTATACCAGTGTCTTACCACAGGGAGCATGTAGTCTCCCTGTGACAACAATCCCTGTGAAGTCTGGAGAAATAGTGATTCCTCCATCATTTTTAACAGAAGAAATTCCACTTTACTTCCAATAGATGTACTCACCATATGTTGCTTTCTTGTCCCCAATCCAGCGCATTGCCCAGTCAGCCTTCTTTTTAACACATGGTAATGTTTCAATGGCATTAAAAAGAAATTCCCTGAGAATTACAGAGCTCATTAGAATTGGACATCAGCACAATTATATTATATCATATTATATATGATATAATAATTATCACATATATATTATATCATATTCATAGCCACAGATGGTCTTGTTTGCTTAAAAGTGCTCTACACCTTCACTCAGTCTCCTTCCCCATTCTATTCTGTTCCAGTCTAGCTGTATTTGTGCCCATCAGCTACCTTTTAGTCACCTTCCCATCACATCAGCACCAATTCACTGGAATTCCCATTACAATATCAAGGGGACTACTGCTCCATCAAGTATTTTACTGGAACAAGGTTTCCCAGACTAACCAGCCCCCACTCTCCATTAGCAAGGCACCAAAGCTCTCATGTAAGCAGTTTGTCCCTAAAACACTCACTGGAATTGTGGATCTCAGAGTATGATATGTTTGGCTGTCTATAAAGTAGCAGCAGTTAAGTATCTCTAGACTGCCAAGAGCATTGCAATACCACATGACCTTTCTCTCAACAGGATGTTGGTCTGACAACACATCATAATAACCCCAAGTCTCGATTGCTCAAAAACTTGTGTTTAGATTTAAGACACCACTCTTGAATTGATTCATCTTATGACAATTTTACATTCTAGTTATAACTTTTTTTATCAAGACCACAAGCCACTTTCTGGCACACATGACAAGCTTTCCTCTCCCCCAAGCAGAAGAGTAAAGTCCCAGCAGCACATACCATGTTAAAGTGCTAGCTGTTAACTAAATGCACAGGGGTTTAAATATGACATTTCAATACAAGTGGTATCATTCTCAGACAAGTTCTCCTACACAGCTTTGCACTAGGTGCAGCAGTCATCCATTAGTGCTTACTGAAATTTAAAATACCTCCTTATTTAACTGCTCCATCTTCTATGTAGTATCATTTCTTCAAGTATGAAATGGTTTCAGTTTTGCTTTTAATCTAAGGAAGTTCTTGCTGATACCCTTCAGAGAAGAAAGTTCTTCTGAAGTTGCTCTTAAGCAGCAGCAGTATTTCATGTAAATTTAGTCTAAATCTTAAAATTAACCTTTAAGTGAGTGACTGATATGCATCATTCATATATCAACTCTTAAAGAATTAAAAATCTTTCATAATCAAGCAATACAAACCTCTCTTTAGAATCTTTAATGTAGGTGTCGATGAGAAGACTGTACATTTCAGAATGTATGTTTTCCATGGCAATCTGGAAGCCATAGAAACAACGAGCTTCTGTGATTTGTACTTCTTGACTGAATCGCTCCACCTAGAGGAAATAAATGTGTTTGCATATAACTAAGTTGCAGTTTAGAGGCATCGATGCTCACTAACAGCCCTTGCTCAACCCATAGAATTCTCTTCAGATTAATTCCAGACACATGGATTCTTAGCAGCAGCAGCCTCTCACAGCTCCAAGTCACGAGTTATTCTTTAGTCCCAAGTGAATGGGAGAACATCTTGATTTCACTTAGCCCCCATTAGAGAGAAAGTCACTGAGAGGGTAGAACCAGAGTGAGGGCTCTGAGCCAGACAAATGTAACTACAAGGCAGTGCTCAGTGCCCAGTAGGGGAATGGGCTAACTTTCAGATTATAAAAGAAACCCCAGTTTCACAGAACGGTTTGGGCCTGGAAGGAACATTAAGGATCATCTGCTTTCACCTCCCATGCATGGGCAGAGACATCTCCCACTAGACCAGAGTGCCCAAAGCCCTGTCCATCCTGCCCTTGAACACTTCAGGGAGGGGACACCCAGCCTCCCTGGACAACCTGTCCCAGTGCTTCACCACCCTCACACATCTAACAAGCTTGAGGAATCAAAAGCATAGTTATTATCTGTTGGCTTCACTTCACAGAGTGATGTTCCTGCCGAGGCTGCCCCTACACACCAGGTTTTCATTGACGATGCCGTCGCTGGCAGCAAAGAAGGCGAGGACGTGAGAAATGAAGTATTTCTCCTCGGGCTTCAGAGACTCCCAGTGCTGGATATCCTTGGAAAGGTCCACCTGAGACATCGCAAAAAAGAGATGAGATGGTTGCAAAGAGACGGGGTGTGGGGGGTTCGGTGTGAGGCCCGGGCGCTGCCCCAGGGCTGCCCGCCCCCCCCTCACCTCCTCCGCCGTCCAGAAGGACGCTTCGGCCTTCTTGTACATCTGCCAGATGTCGTGGTACTGGATGGGGAAGATGACGAAGCGGCGGGGGTTTTCCCGCAGCAGCGGCTCGTCCTCCTGCGCGGCCCGCGGTGCCTGGAGCAGGAGAGGCGGGAGCGGGGCTGGGCGCGGGCTCGGCGGGAGCGGGACAGGCGGGGCGCGGGACT